TATGAGGTGGATTGATTCAGTGACTGGGGTAATCGGGATGGGTGTGTCAGAGGCAATGCGATTGGCACAGGATAGAGCAGGGTTTAGGGCTGTTGTCCATAGGGTCGCTATGAGTCGCAAATGACTCGACAGCACATAACAACAACAACAGCATTCAAATTCCAGCTGTCCATCTCCCACCCAGTGGTGCTCATGCAGGTGCCCTTGCACAGCGGCCCTTGCCCAGGAAGGGTCCTGGGTCCAAGGGGACTCAGCAAGACAAAGTCAAATTCCCACCAGCCCACTTGGCTCTGGCTGGTCTGCAGTGTCCACCAAAATTCAGCCAAATTATCACTGGCCTGCTTGTTCTTGGGCAGTTGGCGTGACCCCAGAGAGCTCAGCCAAATTTCCACCAGTGGGCTCACCCTGGGGTCCACCTCCAAACAATTGGCGATGCCCAAGAATACCCAATTAGGATCCTACCAGCCTTTCTCGTGGCAGAGCAGTCCCACAGCAGCTCGATTAGTGGCTTTAGACAATGGCTGGATTCTCCGTGTGCCTTTGTGTGCTGTCAGAATCGTACTGTCCACGGCTGTTGGTAGGTCTCTGTGCTGCATGAAGGAGTCTCTAGTGGCCCTCGAGCACCGCCAGGGGTGCAGGGTTGTGGCAAGGCCACCCTGGTGTGCCAGAAGTGTGGGGGCGTGGGATGGTGGTGGGGTGGTGTCCCTGGACATGATGCTGTGGCGCAGGGTGGGGGTGCAGGGCTTGGGCAGCGCTGGGATTTAGGGGTTGCAGCCCGTTCCCAGATACTAAGCTGCCAAGGCACCAGTCCTCAGCAAATAAGACTTTGTGTGCTGTTGCCCTTGTGCGCCTTTTTTTTTAAAAGAAGTCTCCATTACCTTTTCAATCTGTATGCAGAACAGGTCAACTGATACGCTGGGCTGTATAAAGAGGAATGTGGGATCAGGATTGGTGGAAGAGTCATCAACAACCTGCATTATTCAGATGAATATTTTAAATAAATATTTTAAAATTATTCTTTTTAATTAATGAATATATCTCTTGGTATTAAAATCTATGAGTTAGAGTCTTGTTCTCACCTCCAGCCCTTCTAATGTTCTTCCTTGCTCTATCTCCTATAGGAATTCTCTTTTAAAACATCTTTAAGTTGTTGTTAAGTGCTATTGAGTCAAGTGACTTTTTTAATGAAAAACAGATCTGAGCCGTATCCTGTCCTTTGCCATTCTCATCATCTGTGACACACTTGAGCTCATGGCTGTAGTCACTATGTCAGTCCATCTCATTGAGCATCTTCCTCTCTTTCACTGACCCTCCTCCACCTTTTAACCATGATGTCCTTCTCCATGGAATAACTTTTGCGTAGCAGCCTGCCCAAAGTACCTAAGATAATACTTTGTCAATCTTGCCTCCAAGGAGCACTCTGGCTACATCTTCTCCAGAACATGTTTGTTCTTTTGGCAGTCTGTGGGATGGATATTCATTACTCTTCTCAACACCACAGCTCAAAGACACTAACTCTTCTGTCATCCTTATTTTCCATCTTTCAGATGCATTGCAAGTGATTGAAAATACCATGGCTTGAATTGGGTGCAACTTGGTCTTCAAACTGATAATCATCACTTCTCATTAATTTAGAGAGATCATATTCAGCAGACTTTCCCTGTGTCTCCTGATCTTATTGATAGTAGCAAAGGTGTTGATTAGGGATCCAAGTAAGATGAAATTGTTGAAAACTTTAATCCTTTCTCTACCTTTCATGATGTTCTCATCTTGAACAAAGCAAGAGAGCCCTGTGTGGTTCAAAATCAAGAAAGAAGTGCATCAGAAATATATCTTTTCTCCATTCCTTTTCATTCTGTATACTGAACAGAGTATTCGAGAGGCTGGACTTTATGAGGAAGAATGTGGCATCAAGATTGGAGGAAGACTCAACAGCAACCTGCATTTGGCAGATGATACAACTGTTTGCTTGCCAAAACTGAGTAAGACATGAGGCTTATGCTGTGGAAGATCAAGGATTGCAGACTATAATATGCATTGTATATCAACATCAAGAAAACAAAAGTCCTCAACACTAGGTCAATAGGCAGCATCATAATAGAGAAAAGGTTGAAATTGTTAATGATTTGATTTTGCTAGGATCCACAATCAGCAACCTTAGCACCAGTAGTCAGTAAATCAAAACATGAGTTGTGTTGGGAAAATCCACTGTTAAGGATCTCTCCAGTTGTTAAAGAGCAAGGACATCAGTATAAAAACTAAGGTGCACCTGGTTCATGTCATAGTCTGTGCGCCTAATAGTTGAACAGTGGATAAAGATGAAAGAAGAGTTTATGCTTTTTAGGTATGGTATTGGAAAAGAGAAATGAATAACCCAAAGACTGCCAAAAGAACAAACAAATCTCTTATGGAGAAAATGAAACCAAGGTGCCCCTTAGCGGCAGGGGTGGTGCAAACTTTGTCTCTCATCCTTTGGACATGTTGTGAGGAGGGGCCAGTCCTTGGACAAAGACATCCTGCTTAGAAAGATAGAGGATCACTGTAAGAGAAGAGAACTCTAACAACATAGAATGGCAGTAGTAACTATACCAGTAGTAACTCTGATAAGTCCAAGCTTATCAGAGATGGCGAGGATGATGCAGGATGAGACAGCCTTCAGAGCTGCTGTCCTAGCAGCAGGGCTCATACCTTTTTGCTATCTTACCCGTGTTGTACAAGGGGACCTCACCATTGGAATTGTCAAACACTTGAATTTTTGCCATTCTAATATGTGAGAAATATGTTGGTGCAAGCGGAATATTGTAAAGCTCATTTTCATTTCCTTTATTGTGATCTGTTTCTGTTGTTGGGCTCCAATCTTTGTAATGTGAATTACAAATATTTTTTTTCCTAGTTTATCATTTGATTTTCAAGAACCAGGAGTTTACATTTGATTTGAAGTTCATTATTACAGTTGCACTGCCTCATATATATTCTACATTCTTGAAATTATTTATTTAAATATAACTTACTTAATGCAGCTAGCTTTTTAAAATTGTTTTCTAACAATGAGTTCTTCTTTTAATAGACACGGCATCAGCAAGGAGATACACATCCTCTCACTTTAGAAGAGATTTTGGATGAAACGCAACATTTAGATATTGGACTCAAGCAGAAACAATGGCTAATGACTGAGGTAAGAATATGATGCTAAGTTTTAATATAGGGGAGCTCTGGTGGCAAGAAGATGCACTGCAATCCCAAAGGTGCATGGTTTGAATCCACCAGATGCTTTGCTGGAAAAGGAAGGACAATCTCCTCTTGTGCCAGTTGGATCTCACTTGACGGTACACAACAGGGGGAAAAAAGATGACTAGTTGATTACGGTGAGATTTTTTTTCTGTGAAGGCATGATGATTAGCACAGTGACTGTAACAATAGGCTTGAGCCTGTCAGAGATTGAGATAATGACGCAGCATTGGGCAAGGTTCAGATCTGTTGTTCATAGGGTTGCTGGGAGTCATAGTTGATTTGATGACTCCTGACAACAGCATAAGGGTTTGTTTTTTTTTTTCTATAACCAGTAGGCTTTTTAATATATTGGAATTTGATAATGAATTTTCTTTTTTTTCTGAAAGAAGTGATATTGAATCTTTAGGTTTGTTTTTATGATAACATGTTTCCAAGATTATTTTAGTTGTTGACTTTAATATACTTTCATGTCTGTTTTTTATGAGTTAAAAGTCAATGCTTTAAGTTAAAAGTTGTTAAGAAGTCGGTTTTTATACCAGTTCTTTATGTCTTTTTATGGAATAGATGTTGCTTATTTTAGTAGCTAAATTTATAATCGGTACGCTTATAGATGGCATTGTTTTTAGAGATATATTAAGAAACTTAAAACATGAGGTATGGTAAGGAAAACAAAAATTTTTTCTTTTCTTCTGTTGCACCCTTTGTTCCATTGCACCTTGATGGTCATGTGGCTGCTTCTTGTAAGTTCTCTAGAAAAGCAGTTATGAAGATAGAACATTTGAAAAGAAGAAAACCTAAAATAATCAGTGATCAAGCTAATTTGGAAATTAATTGTATTTGAAAAATGTGGATATCTGCCTATCTTGAGTTTAAATATGAAATGAGCATCAAAAAGACTGTTCTAGACCCAGTGCAAGGTTCTGAAGATTAAATTTAAAATTTTCTATATATATTTATTTCACTAAGAAACATTTACTTACTAATTTTTGTAATAATAGTGATAATAATAATAATAAAAATTATTATTGTTATTTTAAATACCCAAACCTGTTAATCCCGTCATTATTGTTATGTGTGCTTGAGTCAGCTGTGATCACAGTGACCATGTTAACAATAGATCTGAATCCTGCTCTATCCAGCATCATCCTTACAGTCTCCATCATGCACAAATCCATTGTTGTTATCACTGTATTCGCCCATCACCTTAGGTCTGACGCCCTTTTTGTGGCCCACTGAATTAGTGATAGACACATATTGAGTGGTACATTTTTTTTAGTTTAGTAATCCACATTCAGATTTGTCCTGAAATACCTAAATTTGGACTTTGATAGATTTTCAACCTCTATGAAAGACCATTTTTGTTGTTACTTTGTAATCTGTCTTTTTTTTGTTTCTTCCCTCCTTTCAGGGTCAGCTTGGCAACTACAGAAAAAAAAGAAATAGGGTTCCTCTTGTCTTGAACAGCTTTCCTTTGATGTTGACTGTACAACAGAATTGACAAGGAACATAATGATTATTTGCATTCCTATTCTGTTTAATTCTCAAGCTGACATTCTAGGCAAAGTTCTCTACATGCAGATGTTTGGTCTGACTCAGCTCTTTCCACAGCTGCTTATGCCTGTTGATACTATCAAGTGAAGACTGACTATTGGTTCATTCATTCCAGGATAATATTTCTCAAATTGTAATTCCCGTATTCAGTAAACTATACTTTGCGCATGGGTAGGCAATACCAAATTAATTTTGTTTGTTGTTACTGTTTTATTTATTCTTACCTATTTGTCTTCCAAAAGAATATGAATACAACTTTCTTCAGATCAGTTGTTGAATTGGTTTATTTCTCATGCAGAAAATTTGCATGACTACTACCCAGGTTTTATTTATTTATTTTTTTTTTTAATTTAATGATTTATTTATTCTCGAGACATAAGTTTTTGTTTTTTCAGTTTCTTCTGGG